GCAGCGCAAGTCTGTCATATAGTCTTGAGACATGGGTTTTGAAGGTGAGACTTTTGTTTTGTGATCAAAATATAAAAAATTAAATAAAAATGTGGATTTTGATTTATCGGCCACTATATTGGTTATCGACTTTCAACTAAAGAGTTAGCGGTTATCGGTATTGCCCAAATTTTCATATTGGTGCATCACTAATATTGTTGGACCAATACAGTTCATTGTAATATTAATACTTTTTCAGTAAAAAATCCAGTTAACTTTTGTCAAATAAACAATTTAAGTATTTGAGTTGACATTTGATTTCCATTGACCGAGTCCTAAAGCAAAACCAGTGGAGAACCACTGCTCAAAGTCAGTGTTGTGTGCTTGTCATGTGATATTTACTGGGATATGTCAAACAACGCAAGCAGATGAGAACAATCGTGTTGTTGTCCATTCGCCTTTATCTCAGAACAGAGCAAGATCTGATTTTAAGCATTTCATGCCTCAGAGAGCAGCCTTTAAGACGCGTCTGTTTGCTATTGAAATCTCCTTTATCTTTAAATAGTGCTTGAGCAATGATGCATTCAGTGGAGCTCACCTCCCCTACATTGAGTTCTTGTATCTTTTCTTTATTAAACCATGTGGAGCCCAACAGTGGAAGTTCTTAAAAACTATCACTCCCTCTGATCTGTCCACCCACTAATCCACTCACGCACCCATTCATCACAGAGTTTCATTAATTCTGCTAAATAGCATAAGTACTAGCCTAAGCAGAACCCACATAAGAATTCCAGACCAAATTACCTGCTTTTGAGACCAATCAAGCAGCTTTTATTCTATCAAATAATCATAGGGAATTTCCTAACAATCTTGCCAGTTTTCTATTTCAGGAGCTCAGTTCCTCTGCCAAAAACACAAGCTATAAATGACTAACTGAATGAATCATTTAATGCTGCTCCATACCTAGTTTACTTTGTTCTTTAGATCATAAATGGAGATGAATATTAAAAAATGAACTATATGACAACAGAAAAGAGCAGCAAGGACATTCTGCTAAACATCTAAATTTTGTGCTCCAGGGAAGAAATAAAAATATACAGGTTTGAAAGATCAGAGATGACAGAGTTTTCAATTATTTCTCAGCTAATAAGTTAAAGCTGATTAGACTGTACAGTAATATAGAAAGATCTGAGTGTGTGGCATATTTGAACATGTGGGCATGATTCAAAACGAATGAAACTTGTCCTACAAAACCACAAGTGTTTCAAGAACACGTACTTGCCTGACTTGTCAGAGAAGGCATGGAAAGCACATAGACAAATCAGTTCATGAAAACAATATTTACAAAATGCATTTACAAACAAAGGCATAGATGAGTAAAGACGTTGACTTTGATTACATTAGCAATGTGCTAGCTGGCAAACATCTGAGATCGTGTCCTCAAAGAAGGTCAAGCAAGTCCTGGGTTTCAAACTATCAGTGAAAGAGGAGAATGCAAGAGAAAAGATGATCTCAAAAGCAAGATGGGGGTGAAGTGTTTAGCGTGTGCCTGGAAAAGAAATAAATGTGTCTTTGTTGGTCTGAGCTAATTATAGCAGGAACAGCCTGGGCTCAGACCTCCTCTCTCTAATAACATTTATCAGCATCTTGTCACCAAAGACCCATTGTTCTCATCTCTCCTTAAATACTCCCCAAGAACAAACCAAGAACATCCTCTGGGACACATGTGCCTCCTATTTGGCTTCCATAAAGGATTAGTTCACTTTTGAAAAAACTTTTGCTGATAATTTACTCACCCCTATGTCATCCAAGATGTCCATGTCTTTCTTTCCCAACACAGTCTCATGAAGATGCGTATCTATACCACGAGTGTCATTTCTCGTGACATTTATACGCCAAAAATGTTTTTTTTTCCGTGTATATGGTACGCACTAAAAAAACCCTGGGTTAGGTTTAGGGGGGAGGGGGGTGGGGAGTTCGTGCGTATTATACGCAAAAAAGTGCGTATCATATGTACGCGAAAATCGCGTGCCATATACACACAAAAACTGTTTTTGGCGTATAAATGCCACGAGAAATGACATTCGTGCCATAGATCCGAACTTTCATGAGATCGGGCTGCTTTCTTTCCTCAGTCGAAAAGAAATTAAGGTTTTTAATGAAAACATTCCAGGATTTTTCTCCATATAATGGACTTCAATGGGAACCAGACAGTCCAAGGTCCAAAAGACAGTTAAAGATGCAGCTTCAAATGTCTTTAAACGACACCAGACGATGAATAAGGGTCTTATCATGCGAAACGATCGGTTATTTCAAAACTTATTCCAAAAACGTAACTTTTCTAAGGACAAATGTTAGCCTTGCTCTATTCTGTGAGGCGCGTTTGTAACGTCACGTAATACGTAATTACGTTCAAAAGGTCACGGGCGACGTAGCCGGATGTACAGAGTCAGTGTTTACAAGTTGAACGCATAGGTTGAACGTGCAAACTAACTCAAACGCCGTTTACAAAAAAAGTAATTAAAGGGTTAGTTCACCCAAAAATGAAAATTAAGTCATTAATTACTCACCCCCATGCTGTACCAACCCCGTAAGACCTTCGTTCGTCTTCGGAACACAAATAAAGATATTTTTCATTAAATTTGAGAGCTGTATAACTACCACATTGGCTCCTAAGGGACTGCCTCTTGACGGCCCAAAAAGTCAATGAAGAAAATGATTAAATATCCCAAGTGACTACCGTGGCTCAACTATATGTTTATCAAGCGACGCGAATACTTTTTGTGCGAAAAAACAAACAAACATAACGAGTTTATTCGACTATTTCTTTTCTTCCTTGTAGGCCAGAACGAGACTTCCTTATAGATTTCCACGACGCATGCGCGAGATTTGCGATCTGAAGTAGTGTAAGCTGGTGTAAGCAGATAGCAAATCTCGCGCATGCGCCGTGGAAATCTAAGGAAGTCTCGTTCTGGCCTACAAGGAAGAAAAGAAATAGTCGAATAAACTCGTTATTTTTGTTTGTTTTTTCGCACAAAAAGTATTCGCGTCGCTTGATAAACATATAGTTGAGCCACGGTAGTCACTTGGGATATTTAAACATTTTCTTCATTGACTTTCTGGGCCGTCAAGAGCCAGTCCCTTTGGCAGCCAATGTGGTAGTTATACAGCTCTCAAATTTAATCAAAAATATCTTCATTTGTGTTCCGAAGACGAACGAAGGTCTTACGGGGTTGGTACAGCATGGGGGTGAGTAATTAATGACTTAATTTTCATTTTTGGGTGAACTAACCCTTTAAAAGGTAAAACAACGATGTCGGACGATTTTGATTCTGTACTTCCGGCTACGTCGCCCGTGACCTTTTGAACGTAATTACCAACATGACATCATGACTATTGCGTAAACATATACGCCACTTTCGAGTCAGGTGGCGTGTTATCTCTACGCATTTTGAGCTATCCGCGTGTATCCGCGTGTATGCGTATATGTCTACGCCATTAACGTCCGCGTCATTCCGCGTGTCTGTACACGCAGTCAAATCTCCAGTCATAAATGCCATTAACCCCAGTGACGGTTAGGTTTAGGGACGGGGTTGAGGTAAGTCATATATTTATATAACGTTAATTTATAAAACGGCGTTCATAAACACGCTGAAAGGCGATTATGCGTCTTGATAGCACGCCAAAAAAGGAAAATACGAATTGGCGTGTCATACACACGCTATACTTCATGAGATCAGTCTGTAATTACGTATTACGTGACGTTACAAACACGCCTCACAGAATAGAGCAAGGCTAGCATTTGTCCTTAGAAAAGTTCCATTTTTGGAATAAGTTTTGAAATAACCGATCGTTTCGCATGATAAGACCCTTATTCATCGTCTGGTGTCGTTTAAAGACATTTGAAGCTGCATCTGAAACTGTTATTAACTGTCTTTTGGACCTTGGACTGTCTGGTTCCCATTGAAGTCCATTATATGGAGAAAAATCCTGGAATGTTTTCATCAAAAAATTTCTTTTCGACTGAGGAAAGAAAGACATGGACATCTTGGATGACATGGGGGTGAGTAAATTATCAGCAAAAGTTTTTTCAAAAGTGAACTAATCCTTTAAATCTGAAAATTGTATCGAAGAATACAGAAAACAACATTGACATTTTACATTCGTCTATATAAAATATAAAATTAAAGAATATTGATCAACTCTTCGATTTCATATGCACACACGGAAGCGCTTCTCATATTTAAGTTTGTCAATGCTAAAGCGTGTCTTTATGAATACAGGATGTCTGCAGTCTGAACACCAGCTTCATGGCCAATAAAGGCACTCAGCTGGCAGGACATACGGTCGACCAACACATTAGAAATGATTCAGTCACCAAGGCTCACATCCTGTATACATTACATATTTAACTGGTGGTGCTATGAAAAACCATCGAGGAAACAGAGAGGATCTCAATGATAGTAATGAGACCACTAAGACATTAAATACTAATCTGCCAGAGAAAGCATAAGCAGTGTCTGTGAAACAGATAGTTAAGGCGCATGCTGATGCTGCTCTGAATCTGACAATGACACCAAAGATTTACTTGCTGCCATTTATAGATCCGGAAAATTACAGGGAGGCAACTATTATTTGTGCTGAGGGGTTGTCAAATCCGTAAAAAAACAACCTCCCTCCCTTTGTAACCTACATTTCAAATAGGATGTGATCCGTCCATTGTGGATCACTACGCAGACGACTATAAATCCATTCTCAATAGCTCTGATCCCAGCATATTATCACACGATTATAATAACAGACATATCCAAATAGAATTGAGCAGATGAGCTAAAAAAGTACCACACAATGGTGTCCGTCAGAAGATTTAATAACAGAGCATAGACAACTATATAGCACAGGAAATATTCCCATCAGACAATCAGAAGCTGCTGAGATTATAGATGTTCACACAACTATAATATTTAACCATGGGTGAATTAGTCATTTCATTAACATGTTCCTATTACTGCATCACTTACTTCATGGGCTTGAAGAGTGCCTGGCCATAGTTCTGGAATGTCATGATGAGCTTCAGCTGCGTGCCTCCAGATTTCATTGCTACAGAGAGAACAAGAGTGGCGCTAAACACTCGTCTCAGGAAAACAACTTGAGCTTTCTTAAATGAACCATTTAAGATAAGACTCATTATGCAAGTGGCTATAATGTGAAAATTCAATAGTGAAAACTAGGGCTGGGTAATAAATATCGATTTCTCGATATTAACCGATTCTCATTTTTACGAACCGATATCGATTCTTAAATCTCAACAATCGATTAGCCATCCTGTTTCATTTGAATGAATGGAACATTGTATCGCGGCTGCGCGCATCCAAAAAATCGCAATAATCTTTGTCCTTTGTTACTATTGATATGAAACGAAGTCTCAATTTTCAAATTACGTCCATTTTCTTTAGAAATTCAAAAACATAAATAGCGTTTTGGCGCTGTGGCGTGAGATCGCTCTGGCGCAGCTCAAGAGAAGCAGCAGCGCTGATCTCTCTTCCGGCTTAATAATACCAGTTACAGCGCGAAATAAACATGAATGAGCGTCTGAAAGTGTGTTAAAAGTTAGAGTACAACTTATCAAAATCCGTATCATGTTACATTGATTCGCTCAATCAGCGTTTCAACCGTGGAAAGACGTCAGTTAAACAGCTTGTAATCAATGTCATGTATCGTCATATTTACCTCAGAAAACCCACATAAACTCGTTAGTCAGCTAGAAAAAAATAACTCCAGAGAGGAGCATTATGCTAAATATATACACCATATTACATATGCATTATAATCTTAATGTTCTTCAATATTTAATGCATATTTGAATAAATCTGGCAAGTTTTTATGACAGCCACCATTTAAATGTTTATATTTAATATAATCTTCTTATTATAAAAATAAATAAGTGTAATTAAGTGTTTGTATAGCTACAGTTCATTATTACCTTCATATTAGGCTAATGAAGTCTATAGGCTACAACTAGACTACCATAGTTTACAGCATTTAAGAGATTTGATTCCCTTGAGAAAAATGGCCATTTATTGTAACTGATATCCAAAATAATCGATATTGAATCGAAATCGAATCGAATTGCAAGCTTGTGAATCGAAATCGAATCGAATTGTGAAATTTGTCTCAATACCCAGCCCTAGTGAAAACTCTTTGTCCTGTAATCGCAGATGGTTATAGCGTTGTTTTTGATTATAGACGGTTGAAAAAAAAAAACGAAAGACAACAAGTGTATTTTGGCCATACACACTGTTCCTTTAAGGACGTTGATAAGACCTTTTTTAAAAGCTGTAATGAATTGTTGTAATGAATATGCAGGCAATCACAAACAGATGAAGAAAAACAAGGGGACACCGCCTCAAGTCAGTTATTTTGCTGCTGTGCCCATACTAGATTTTTTTAAAGATCACTATCACCAGAGATTAACATGCAACTTCCTTTAGATATAAAATTAAATAAACACAGATCCCAACCAGGGGGTCTTTGTTCCTTAATAGATAATCCTAAAAAGGTTTCATTTGTGATAATGACCGGGTCACTGTGCATTCTGTAGCTTATTACACAGCTACTTAGCAAATAAGTAAATAAATGGACATGAAATATTGATTTGAGGAATTATTTTATCATCCAAGAAAAAAGAGAGAGCGGGTTGATAAGAGTGAAATTGGTTGCCAAGGACAGTGGTCAAATATGCAGTTAAGTGGTTATTATACAAAAATATTCTGACCACAGAATACAGCAATCTTCCAATCAGAATCAAGTATTCATGAGGGCCGTGAAATAATAGAAATTAACCTTGGGGCTTCACATAAATGCAGCCCATCAAGTCCACTTGACCATATGAATGCTTGGCAGGAGATACTTTCCCACAGCACGGCGTTTGATTAAGTCTAAATTGCACGCTCTTCTCATTCATTTACCCTGCTGGAATCCACTACCAGTGAATCTCAGTCCAATTTTATTGATGCGTCCGCAGCCAGAGTGCAGGAAGAGTCTAGCCATTATCTTTGAGAAACTTTATTCAAAGTATCTATTTAAATCTGTTAGGAGGAGCAGCACTGGAACATGACGCTGCACTCAAATCACACATCACAACCACTGTAATCCTAAAATCACTTCCCCATTTACCATTTAACTCTAATGCTATTTAATTGTGTAATCTCAAATAGTGTCTTACCAACACTTGTGATCCTTTGCGACACCAGATCCTTCAGCATTGCATCAATGACCGGGTTGTGCCTGGAGTAAAGCTCATACCGGTTGATCCCAATGTGAAAGCGGAGCCAGTTCGGGTATGAGTCTGAGGACATCTCGCCGGTAGGAGCATAATCCCCATCTTTACCTTCCCCATTCCTACGGAAAGACAACATGTCCAAGATGCAATGAACAATGTGGCATATTTCATAAGCCATTACAGAGATTAAATGAGGTTTGATTAAGTTCGGAAGGAGCACGTTCAGATAATTAGCACGGGTTGAGAGCACTCAATCAATGATAAGAGGTGTACTGTATATAGATCCAGCAGTCTCACCGAGTTTAGCAGCATCCCTCCACCACCCCTTCTAACCATTTACATACAGAGGGGAGTACTCTGGGTTTGGGCTGCATTAAACTTTACTCCCTTTAATTGTATGTAAGTGTGAACTCGTGAATCATAATATGTTGTTCTGAATGCCATGAGTTTATTGACATCCTCAAGATCAAATTCATACTTTCAATTCAATTCACATATTGAATGGGGCTTTTCACAATATCATTTCAAAGCAGCTTATTAGAGGTGAGGTGACTGTGTCATACAAAGATAATACATATCATCCAGTTAGCTATTATTATAATAATAGATAATATTATCACTACAATTATTGTTGTTGTTGTTGTTGTTATGAGTAAATCAATGTTTGGGAAACCAGAAAGAAAACCCCCGAGATTCTCAACCTACCACTCTGGGTTCTCTGCAGCTTTAGGGTCAAATCTTATATCAGTGTTGACATTGAATAAAGTGTCTTCATCCGTTAAAGTAGGCAATGGCCTGGTGTACAAAGGATGGTCAAATAGCGCAGAGAGCCTCGAACCCTTCACCACTGCGTTCTTCAGGGTAGAGTCGCGCGTCGCGTGCCTATTCCCGTCACCTGCCAACTGCTCAAATCTCTTCAAAGCCTCGGGTCTCTCCCCACCGGTAATCTTTTCCAGCGAGTGAGAGGACAGGTTTGAGTTCGGCTCGTTGCTGAAGTCTTGAAGTATTCTGAGAGTGTGTTTATTAGGCCAGCCGGACTCTGATCCCGGTTTGGCTCGATGCTTAGCCCAGTTCTGCGGCTCTTCGCTGGGTGTGTGCGAACACGAGCACGCGCTACTGCTCCGTCTCTCCAGCTTCGGTAACAAGTCTATCATAATGTGCATAGAGCAGGCTATAAGAAACACCATCAGAATCAAGACGCGGAATTTTCTAAAGAGGATCATCTTCAGGGTCTCTTGTTCGAGAAATGACTTGTTTGGAATGGCAGGGATAAAAGTGAGCGCCACTACATCGCCAACAGTACATAAAACACGGGCTCCCAATTTTGTGAGAAGAACACATGGAACGTTTTCGTTTTCATTTTCCAGTTTAAGGGCAGAAATGGGGGTTTATTTAGAAAAAGCGCTCATCCACATCCATGCGAAACAATAATCCAGTCATTTACGTGCGCTCGCGATTAAATTCCTCCCGTGCAGTCAGTTGACGAGACGCGAGAACAGTCTCGACACAATCGCTCATAGTCTATTTTAACATTTAATAGCTGTTATGCTGCACTTGTTTGCGAAATGTATTTAAGTCAAGCCTCATCAGATAAATTATCCACAAAAGTGCGTGTTCTCTATGCCGCGGTCCACTTACTGACGCTACATACAACGCACGAAATCTGTTTCACAGCTGCACAAGTTCATTCGCTTTTCTAATCCAGGCTGTTCAGTCGATGAACGCGATGAACGCATGGCAGGTTTCGAAAAAGTCTGGCATCGCACCGAGCTCCTTCCGTCGATAAATGTGATATGTGGAGAAAGTTTCAACGTTTCATCCTGAACATCCAGCTGGTATGAAGGTGATGCCTGCCTGCCTGCCCGTTGACAGGCGCTTGAGGAAATACCTCTGTCGGAGTTCAGGGTGGGTGTGTTAAATATGATGCTGAAGCCCCTCGCACATAGAGGATTGGCTGAGCTTGAAAACAGAAGACAGACAGTCCAGGCTTGCTTCCTGTAGCGTCAAATTGTGCAAGAAGAGGGCGTCTGAACACACACTACTACCCATTTTTGTCTGAAATGACTTTTTAAGATGTATTTATCACGCATGCCCCACTCTACCACCTATTTCCTTGGAAAATTTCTGGACTCTTTCTCCATCTGGTTGGTAGGAGTAGTTGACATGAGACTTACTGCAAATGAGGTAAAATAATATGATTAGAAGAAAGAACCGTCATTATGGGTTCAATTGTTTACTGTTAATCTTAACATATGATTTTACTCCTCCTGTGAAACACAAAAATAGAGAAGGATGACTCATTTGTGAAGGGAATCATGAACTGGATCATCTGATTCATTAGCTCATAAATCAGATGTCACTTATGATCTCATGAACGTAACAAGCTAAAGAAGATGACTTCAAGATTTTTAGTAAATCACTCACAATGTGACTTTGTTTTCTTATCCAAATCAATTGCGTATAGCTTTAGAAGATGTGGAATATCACGAATTGTGGAATAATAAAGTATTGTGATTAAGGTTTCTACATTATAGGGTGAGTAAATTATGAAATTATGAGGGTAAACCCTCTATCCTTTTAAAGGGTTATTCACTCAAAAATGAATATTATCCCATAATTTACTCACCCCTCAAGCCCTATGACTTTCTTCTTTCAGCCGGAGTTATTAAAAAATATCTTGGCTCATCCAAGCTTTATGATGGGAGTGAATGTTACCTTATATTTTGAAGCCCAAAAAAAGGTGCATCCATCCATCATTAAAGTGCTCCCCACACCTCCAGGGTGTTAATAAAGGCCTTTTGAAGCGAAGTGATGCGTTTTTGTAAGAACGCAAGTAGTTCCGGCGGAAGAGTGACCGCTGAACCGACGTATTGACAAAGAGAGAATAGAGCAAAATAAAACACCAGTCACGAATTAGAAGTCTAAAACAAGAATTTGTAAAGAGAATTGTCGGAGGAGCTTGAATTTGTTGCCCATTAGTACTATTTGTTTGACCCGCGAGAGGCGTACTCTCCTACATCCTACATCGTGTGTCGGGTCAGAAGTCACTTTTTCGCCAGAATATTTCAATATATATTAGGGCTGTCAAACGATTAATCGCGATTAATTGCATCCAAAATAAAAGTTTGTGTTTACATAATATATGTGGTGCATGTGTATAATTATTTTAAATATATAAATACACACATATGCATGTATATATTTAAGAAATATTTTCATATATATATACATTTAAATATTTTATATATAAATAAAAAAAAATTCTCAAATATACATGCATGTGTGTGTATTTATATATATACAAAATAATTATACACAGTGCACCCACATATTTTATGTGAACACAAACTTTTATTTTGGATGCGATTAATCACGATTAATCGTTTGACAGCCCTAATATATTTATACAGTATATGTCTATATGTTTTTTCGTTGTTGTTGTTGTTGTTTTCTCCATAGTTTAGAAATAATTTTACAGTAGGCCCCTTCAGAAGCGCTGTGGCCCCCTAGTCGCAACCCCCTGATTGAGAAGGACTGCTCTAAATACAATCTTCATTTCATCATTTCCACAATTCTATGCTATAAAGCTCCAAATAGGGTATTGTAATGTAGGCTATATATATGAAAATAATATATAGCTATATATAGAAAAAAATAAAAATATATATAATTGACACAAACCAGCAAATATAAGCAGAAAAAGTGAACAAGAACAATAAAGATAATGAAATAAAATATGTAATTAAAATTTACTTTGATCTGATCTTGAATCATGATCATGTGTCTCCCAATACAAAGTTTCAGTACAATACCAGAGCCATGTAGACAGCACTAATCACTTAATTATAATATTTGGTCAAATGTCACATTTCAGACAAGTGAACTGTCAGAGATGACAATGAATGGCTGATTGTCATGCAGAAGGAGTTTTTCTCAAATTCCCTGCTGAATTTTGTGACAATACCCCCAAAAGTGAGTGTTGTTTGGGTTCTTGCCTGAGGAAAGAGCTCATTAAGGATCGCTGATTTCAAACAAGGTTTGAAAAAGTTTCAGTTCCTTCATTGCATTTTCCTGTGATAAGATCATATTCATATGATAAGATAAGATTCTATGATAAGAACCTGAGCTCGAACTTTTGTGGCACTAGAAATCACAACAGTTAGCCTCCTGTGGGGTCTAGCTTAACACATATAACTCCCTCATAACATTTACTCAGCCGTGCCCTTCGCCTACAGTATGTGTCGCATGAAAAGCATGGATGTCAAAAATGACTGAGACAACAGACAAGCCATTCAAACCAGAATGCGCAGCTTGTGTCAACACTCGGCCCACCTCCGTTGCATCTCTCATAGTGAGCAGAATGGCACTGGCTTGAGAGCTCCACAGATGGCAAAGGCAACACAGAGGATTTGTTCCTTTCAAAGCGCTGACTACAGCAGAGGCTGTAAATAAGGCTGAATAGATTTATGACCACTCCTGTATGTCTCTGCAAGGTATCAGGGTGGACCATTAGATACAGTTCTGTGGACAGAGATAGGGGATTATACTGAAGATAGAGATACAGATACAGATAGGGCGAGGGCATGAAAGCATTGCCTGACATGTCTATTCATTATTTAGTCAGAGATTTATGCTACAATTTGCTCGGATGGCGATAGAGAGTGGGGGCGTGAGTTTGATGGAAGTTGAAATTAATTTAAAGTATAGTCAATATGCTTCAACTTCAGTCAATGATCAGAATGGAACAGTGAGGAGGTGTAATGGGATTGATTTCGTTTTAAAATTAGCATTAAAGTAAGACATTTCAGTGGAAGGAAAATGCTAGTCCCCGAAAGCAGTTTCTACTGCATTCAGTTATTATTCATATTATGAGACATGCTGCTTCCAAAATGCACACTTAAATGTATAAAAACACAACTTGATAATGACTGATGAGGTGATCACTGTGCTTCAATTTAAGTGATGCTAGAATTATACTTTTTGTTGAAGAGACTGTTTAATTTACGGACATAATTTATGCACATTGCCACATTTTGTTTCTAGTGTGCTTCATCCATGATGCTGAGGTAGCAAGGACTGAACTGATGCAGAAAATGCATCAGATAAAAATACACTGAAAATCACAAAAGTAAAAAAGACACCAATTTTCTAGAAATAAATACATATTTTATAACAATTAATGCTATAAAAAAAATCATAAATTATTGGTTTTGAAGCACTATAGAGGGAGAAACAAGCAGAGATGTTATCACCAAGGTTGCGACAAAGGGTGTGAATTAAAACTTGTCTATGGATGTGTAAATTAAACACTTTGAAATTTAAGAATCAATCTGCACATTTGGATTGTGTAAATTACATTTAAATAAATTAAAACATCCAAAACCTGATAACTGAATTAGAACTATTTCTGTAAGATTTAAAGTCCAAAGATAATGAAGGCAGGTGAAGAGTTTCAAAATAATAAATATAGCTGCGAGCAGCGATTGCGGGCCCAAGCCGGTGGCACCGCAACCCCGATGCCTTTAGTTACCTAAAGGCACCGGGATGGTGGTACCGCCGGCTTTGGCCCTTTATCGCTGCTCACAGCTATATTTATATTTAATATAAAGCCGGTGGCACCGCCACCTTGGTGCCTTTAGGGTTATTCTGTACGACGTGTAAAAACGTAACCCCCGCTTTGACGATCAAAAAGAAGTGTATTGTAGAGCTTGCATCAATGCGGACTCGATGCGCTGTGCGCTGTAACTCCATGTGGCTTTAAGCGCATCATTCTCCACTCGGGATGCGCATAAGCGTTTTGTGCCACACTGTACTGAGCCTTTCATATCATAATGCAGTGACGCAATGACAGATTATTAATTGCCTTTCTTGTTCTGTTCCATCTATTATATGTTGATAATAGATAGGACAGAGCACTAAAAACCTCAAACAAAGCACTAAAAAACTTAAGCTGTTTGCTGTGTAGTCTGAGAATGAGCTGTTTTGATTTGCACCCTCTTCCTCTTCACTGTCCTCCATAAAAACCAGCTATCCAGGTCCATGTTGTTCTAGAAAGTTTGTATGTTGCTGCCTCAATTAACATCTCTGCTATACATTTAAAACATGGCTATATCTAAAATAATTTATCTTTTGATTTTTGTTATCTTGTTTTTCATGAATATTTTACAACAATACAAAGAGCAATGTGTATTTTCCAATAATATAGTTTGTAATGGCTTTTTTTGTCATAGATTATAATCATATTTTTTGGATTTGTTATTTATCTTTATAATGAAGTTGTCTGTATTAAGTAGATTGTGTTTAACACACACAAGAGTGATTTATTAGTTCAACACATAGTTATAGAAATTCTACTTTATCTAAAAAAACCCTGCCCTTTATACACACACACACACACACATAAATACATGTAAATAAAAATACCAAAAAAAAAAACATCAAATGTGTTTTTAGTCAGAGTATTATTTTATACAGAAACAAATATTTGTAATTCAGATAAGAATGAAGTTAGTGTTTTAAAATCTTAAGGAAAACAAATATATTGAATGAAATATAGCACATGAATTTTAAATTCATCCAACTTCAATTACAAATACAATCTTACTTTTATTTAAAGCAATCTATACATTTAAAAGATGGGGGTTATATGCCTATTTTGTCATTTAAAAATATTGTTATGCAAAATTGTTATGCAAAAAGACAAGGACTTAGAGACAAGGACTTGAAGGAAAAATCACAGCCAGCCACACACACATAAACACAGACAACAGCCCTCCCCTCCCCACACACACACACACCCACACACAGAGAGAGAGAGAGAGAGAGAGAGAGAGAGAGAGAGAGAGAGAGAGAGAGAGAATCGCAGGGGAAATAAATCCATTCAAACTACAATATCTGACTTTC